TATATGTGTATTAGTGTATGCCCAAATGCAAATGTTATTGAATTGTATGAACGCAGATTGCCAGTAGGAGAAATTTATTCCTCTGTTGTAACCTCTATTTACATTTCTGAACTATAGGGGGATGAGAAGTAATAATTGCACTACATTCCAATTCTGCCTTACGGTTTTAATGTATTTGTCAAATTTCTTTCACTACAATGCAAAAAGTTATTAAAAATTCTATCACAATAGACGGGCGCAGCTATGCACGCCATCATTGATCTAGTGGAACCTATGGCACGTAGAAGGCCCATGGATCCTACGGTCCACAGGAGGCCCATGGTTACAACAGCCCGTGTGTTGCCATGGTTATTGTGGCCTAGTTACCAAAATTAGGTTATTGTGGCCACTAAAAAACGCGAAAAAATAACTACAGTGACTACAAGCAAACAACTAAACAAGACAATAAGAAAATAAATAAGCAAGCAACTAACGCCAGGCTATTACGGCTATTACACATATTACATTCATTGGGCATCAAAGTTCGCCAACAGTGCAAATATAGGGAACAAAGCAGCATATTACATACACTGGCCATCTAAATTGGCCACCAATACAAATAAATGCGGCAGCAAAACAAGTCCATAACTGAAACAACTTCAGAAGTACTCAAGAAACGTTATCCTGGGTATCCATCATGCTGGCAATAAGCTTAGCAAGCTTATTAGCTTTGTCCTGTTTGGCGCTAAAATCTTCCAATGCTTGTTGTTGCACCAGAAAGTATGCATCTGAATGCTCGAGGGACTTCTGCAGTCCTTCGGCTTCTTGTCATAGCACAGCTGATAGATGTCTTTCAGCTTGTAGTTGAGACTCAAGAAACCGAACTGATTCAGATAGTGAGTTTGAATAGCTTGTGCCAGTGGTAGTGGCCAGTACCTCGAACACTAAACCAAGACATGACCTTGGGGTTGTCTCACTGTCTTCAAGATAGTTTTCCTTAGCTGTTTTATCAGCTTTATTGAAGACCAACAAGGATGTCTCACTGTCCTGAACCTTATCTGCATCACTTCCTTTACCATTGCTTAATAAGGCACTCTCTTCCCCAATATTCTGTCAGCATTCTAAAAGAAGAAATAAGGAGACACATAAAAAGTTTAGCATGTACTAGTGGCTTAATGAGATTGAGCCTGACTTAGCGAGACATATTCGTGTGGGAGTATGCGCTTTGCTGTGGACTATCTGGAATTGCAAAAACGATTTGGTTTTTAACAGAACATCACGCTTTCATTTTGTGCAGGTTAATCTTCCGAGCCACGACATTGATCCGTTCGTGGTCGCTACTCACTCCGATGGAGGCCAGGGAGCATTTGGTTACTGGATTTATCCGCTGGGAGATGGTAGCTCGGAATATCTTCAACCGGTTTGGATGGCGGTCATGTAATAGGATAGGCAATTAGTTTACCTATCTCTTTTTAGCCAGGCGGTTGTGGCGTCCCTTATTTGGCTAGTTTGTCTTTCTAGCCTATTTGGCTCTGAGTGAGCTTTTTTTCAGTTGGAGACTTTGAGACCTTGTTGAAACCTTATTTATTTGTTTTAATAAGATGGCCGTATGCATCGTTCTGATGCAGAGGCCGGGGTGACCCCCTTTTTGAAAAAAAAATATAAAGTGTAGTTCTTTAGACGGTTGGTTTAAATTACAGATGGCTTATTTTGATTTTATGTCAGAGTTGATGGGTTTCGGAATAGTGCCTTCGACATTACCAAATGTTCGTGGAGGCCGAGACGTAGGAGGGAACTCTTATTTCAACTCCGGTCGAAGCTCCACGTTCATTTGCGTTGGCATCATCGAGATGGAAGTTAGCATCATAAACAGTTGTGGCCACCGCGACGATGTAGCCAGGGCCTTTGTACCCATCCATGCCGACACAATTGAGATGGAGGCTAACATCATGGATGGATATGACATCCAACGGGACGTCATTAGGAACTTTGATTTCATCCAATCCGACACTATCGAGATGGATGTCAGAATCATGGACGGTTGTGGCCGCCGTTGCGAGGCCGAATTAGGCATCTCAACAGCCAAGAATGCGTCTCACTCGCTCTATCATAGCCTTGAAGTGCATTGTGGTCGTAGTTGTCAATCTCAAATGGTCCATTGACCTTATACGTACATATAGCTGCATTGTCATGTGGTTCATGACAACTGGTGCTCGTTTCATATAGCAACACACATGTAGCTAGAGAGATTGGTTTGATATATTTATTGTGTTTTAGAAAATAATTAGTAACTTCTTCGATATAGTTGTAAATCAAAAAAATTCAAGAGCAAGTAGCAGTTCCGAATGCATGCCCCAGTACCATAAATTAATAACCTAAAGTTATGGTTCTTCATCCATATCAGTTGATTATTATCTTTGTCATCTCTCCACAGCAACTCACATAAAAAAGATCTCTTGTTGTATGGCTCCATAGTGAAGCATGTCAATTTGTTTCTTCCGTTGCAACGCATGGGCATACGTACTAGTACTAATAACATACAGTTTAACAGTGGGCACTTCTGTTGTTTTTTTTTTTGAACATCAGTGCAGACACAAGCGCTCATATACACGCGCATGCACTCACCCCTATAAATACACACACGCACACCCTATCTCTATGAGCACCTCCGAAAGACTGAGCCGGCATGATCTGGTGGGCTGGGGATACCACGGTCCCTCTAAGCATACAACCACAGATTGGTTCGCGGCATTTCTGTTGCTTGGTTGGCTCGATTCCACCAGTGCCAATAGATTGTGCTGTGGTGGACACAAATGTACTCCACATCCAGGAAATTCATATTAATGTTACCAGGTGCCTTTTGTCATGTCGCAATATTGCACCACGTTTTTTTGCGGACGGTGGGCCGACGGCACTGGACGCGGGAGTCGTCCCAATCCAGGAGACCAGGACGTAGGGCACGAAAGTTCAAAAAAAAAGGACGTAGGGCACGAGCACGAAGCCAACTGATTCTCATCCAAATCAGAGGCTCGTTCAAACTGGGACCCCAAGCACAAGGCGTGCACAGACGGAGATCGATCGGCCGAGGGTGGAGGACCGGCACATACATGGCCGACCCCGACCTCGCCGCCGCGGAGCCCGACGAGGAGAGCCAGTGCGGCATTCCGTGCGTCTCAGCGCTCTGCGCGTGCACGCTCCTTGCCGCCTCCGTCGTTCTCGTAATACTGTTCTACCGCTCCGCTGACGCATCCACCGCCGTCCAAGTCATGGCCGCCGCCGGGCTCGTCTTGGCGGTCATGGGCCTCGCCGGCGGGGTCGTGTTCTGCGCCCACTGCCTCGATTTCTGGTTCCACGGCAATTGCCTCGGGGAACAGCAACCGCTGCTGCCGCCCTTGGTTGATTGATCGATCCCGATGGCGATCGTTCGGGGAGTAGCTAATAATTGGTTGTCTTTGGTTGTTCTTGGATTTGATTATAGCTGTATTTTTTGTGTTTACGGTGATTTATTAATTACTATAGCTTTCATCATGGCATATATATATACTGACGTGATTTAACTCTAAATCTTGTTGTGATCCCGTACGTAAGTTGCTACCTTGCGAGTCATGCATCCGGTTTTAGTTTCAACATTTATTTCGGTGCTTGACTGATTGTATGTGTTATATTGGTCACCCAATGCTCATTCTCACAAAAATAATCTTTCAAGAGTCTTGCGGTATTAGTCGCTTGTTTTAGCTATCATTTGCTCATTTTAATCAACTTCTGTTCAAAGCTTGCACAGTTCAACGATTTCCAAATGGCTCAACACGACGTTGCAACTCCAGCTACATGCATGCTTGGTGAGATTTTCTCTTGAAACAAGCTTTTGCCTCACTTTACAGATAAGGCAATAGGCAACCACCACATGCGTACAATAAGTTTAAGCGCAAGAAAAGTCTGCTGGGGCAACAACACCAACATACCCAAATAAACGGAAAACAGGTCATACAGAGCGTAAGATTAGCAGCTAGCATGAGAAATTGAGAAGCAAGGTGGTGTCTTGCTGAAGTCAACGCGTGCATCATCCCACCAAGCCGGCCCTGATTCCGCAGTCTAAGAACAGGGGCCTATGCTGTAAAAATGCTAGAAATTAAAAAATGAAACTAGTGGCCCCTCCTAAAAAGACCTGTTTGATCACCATCTTGTTACACGTTGTCCAAAGAGTCCAAGTCATTGTCGTGAACACTAATTAGAAGAGGCGTCTCCTCATATGTGACATAACCCACCACCAAGAACATTCAGCTTGGCGAAGAGAGGCAATCCTGCTGCAGCAGCCATCACACAAGATCTTAATCTTCGAAGGGAGTGACGGTTTTCACAGACGCGCGATAAACAAAACCAACAGAAAAGAACCCCCGAGGGTTTCAACCGCCAAGATATGGCATCCAGATACTCCGGAATCATCGGCGGAAGGACGGGCCTAAATGTCTGCATCTCATTTGGCGCTCTGTTTTTCCTTATGTACTTCAGCACGATAAAGAAATTTTGAAAGAGCACATCACAAGAAACACCAGACATATCGATTTATTAACATAGTTCAGAAACAAATTACATTGCATTGCTGGAAAATACAATTTCAGCAAACACCGATTTTAGCATTCTTCAGCAAATGCAGGAATAATACTCAAGTCCACACCACAACAACAATTTCCTTGAACACCTGAATCTCTTGACAATGCAAAACCAAAACAGTTCCCTGTTGCATTTTGTATATATACAAATAATTTAATCTGTCACCTAACCTATTCAACTCAAGTCCACGCCACAAACAACAAATTTTCCTTTTCTCCCTCCATTTCAGGACACAGCGCTCATTACTGCGAAAAACCCACAATTGTATACAACAGAAACTAACAACAAGAGCACGGGCGCAATGAAAACTCTAAATCTTTCACCCGCTCACGCCCTCACGGTCAGCCGCACATAACAAATGAAGGGATGACGACAGGAGTCGTTTCATTCTGATTGTTTTCTAGGGTATCCTAGAACTCGTCATCAAGAGAGTAATCCTCGTCATCGGGCAGCATGGCCGTCAGGAGCGAGTACCGCACCCGCAGGGATATCTTACCCCTCTCGAGGTGCAGCTTGGCGCCCGACACCACCCAATACCCCGGCAGGTCCTGCGGCCCACGCACCATCTCCGTCGTGTCCACAAACTTGAGAAGCTTTGGGGGCTGCACCGGGGCGGGCGGGCCGCCGGGGTACACCGCCGAGTTGATGTTCACATCGGCAGGGCGGGGCATCGGCTTCTGGACCGCCGTGGAGAAATGCGTGCTGATGAGCGTCGAGATGAGGCCCGACTTCTGGATCAGATTCGGGGACCCCTCCCACTCAGGCTGCCTGACGGAGTGGGCGTTCACGACCTTGGAGAAGTGCAACCGAAGGAACAGTATCTTCTTGAAGCCCTGGCTGATTACTTCTAGCCGTGCTCCTGTGACGATGGAGGCGTCCTCTGACTCCACAGGCGCTGTGCAAACGTGGGAGAAACGCTTCCACGATCCTATTGGTTCCACGTATTTGCGGTCAAATGGTTCTGGAGTTCGGTTGTTGAAAGGGTCATCTTCGAGCTGGATAATCTGGGGAAGAGAACAGAGATGTTGGAGATGGATAGCTAATTTGTTACTCTTCTTTCCTTCAAGAAACAACCGGAGCCCCGTAATTGGTCTTTTGCCTACATCAACCTGCACCAAAGTTATAAAGCTGCTCAAAAAGGGAAGAAAATTGATAGAAATATCATCAAACCCAGAACTGAGTGGCAACTGTCAATATAATAATAAGCTTGTATATTCTGTATATAGTGTGCAATGTTGATCCACAACTTATTTTAATAATTAGCTCATGTAGGAGTTTAAAATTTTCTGAATCAATTCAACAAAATGTAAATATTCCCTATTCTAATGCTACAGCTGTTTTCATCATTCCCAAATAAACTAGCGCTAGCCAATCCTGCCATTCATAGGTTACAAGATAAATGTGATTGATGTAATGCCAAATAGAGTAGCAGCGCATCCAATTTTGATAATGCCACCAGGATTGGATCCAAAGCGTACTAGTCTAAAATATTTTTCAGTTTCAGGTTTTTGCACTTCACAGTTTCACACTGGGGCTTTCCCACTTAACTTTCCATCCATTTATCTTACAAGTACTTACACATCTTATACCCTTTGTACTGTTGTTTTCACTGAGGAAATGCACTATCTTATACCTCTATCTAGATCTCGCTCTTGAGTGATAATTGGTCCATAGTTATCTAGCCATGTGATCTGACTTCAGTTGTGAGTTGCAACATATAAGGGCATCTAAGCTAACGACCAGGTTGTTTATGGAAAGGTAGGCACTATAAATTCTCTGCACAGTAGAATAAGAATTTGAATGGTCACACAAATAGGGAGTATTTTATCTCCAACACTTATCCTAACATATGTCTACTTTCTACGGCGACGTTTAAGAGATCATGACACCACATAAAAAGGATAAAAAGGAAATAGATAGATGAACAATGTTTCAGTTATGGCAATAGGAAAAGTGTGCATACCATGTTGGTACAAACATAAAGTGTTGGACCAATAAAATTTACTGGCAAAGATGCACTGCTTTGCTTTTTCCTCTGAGGACCGAGAGGAAGGTCACTATAAACTGGTGCCCACTGCCTTGGAAGCTGGAACTCCAAAAACTGGTGCAATTCCTCAATTGGGGGCTTATCTGTATGAAATTCAAATATATCACCTTGTTATGAACACATCACACATCACATTGTTTGCTGTGCAAAACGATGTTTGCTAGCTTGCTTTTTTGTTTATGACCTAATGATAGGATGGTGACAAACATATAGCTTCAAAAGGTTGCAATCCGAACATTACGTTAAATAGAGTTTTTTCTTGAAGCTGGCACATTTTTGTATTTCTTTTGCAGCTCATTTGCAGAGACTAGAAATTTATGACATTATTAGGACTCCATATTGGGCAGCCCAGTGCATGTAGCTCCCGCTTGCGCAGGGTTCAGGGAAGGGTCTGACCACTATGGGTCTATTGTACTAGAAATTTATGACATTATTAGGACTCTATATTGAAACACAAATATTAAAGATGACTGAAAACACCCAGAAGCACATAGAGCCTCACAGAAGCAGGCTAATGATGTTGATCATAAGCTAAAATAGACTAGTATTTTTGCCCGACAGATATATACAGGGAGTGAAGTAGGTGAACAGAGCTATAAACGACAACTATTTTATAATAAATATTGCCCAAGAAAACCATTTCCTTAGAATCTAAACAATAGGTACTTGTTTTGTGGAAGGAAGAAGCCAGCCCCCTTTACTGTTTGACCCTTACGGTGGCCAAGGGTGCAGGTTCTAAAGTCCTGAATAGACTATAGAAAACTTACACCCAAATACATCGCGAAAAACACAAGTTCTTTCCCTAGAATCCTAACTCTAGACACTATCACGAACTATAAATCAATGCCAAGGAAGCTGTATGGAAAAAAAAGTGAGAAGGACAACAAGAAACCTTATTTTGAAATGATCAAAATTAACACGCAGCTAAAGTACTAGGGGTGAAGATCAAGACTTCTCTTAATATTATTACTAATTATGCAGTTCCAACTTTCAACATTTGATCTTTATAGGTTAAGAGCTGAGAGTTGAATAAACTATTCAGCAAGCTTGAAAGGATCAGGATTTATACTTACAACGAAGGTACAGATTAATTGCATGATTCAGAAAGCCACTACCAGGAACTCCATTCAACAATGAAGTAATAGGTATAAAAGACATCGAGATAACATCAGGTTCTGATTGAACACTACTCAGCCACTCGCTATGAGAGATCATATCTTTATCCCTTCCACCTCTTCGCCTAGGCAGCACTACCAAATCCTGAGATTATCACAAAGAACAAACATAAATAACACTTCTCCTATGAACAGTCTTATATTATATCAACACAAAGAACTCTACCTCCTTCGAAGCATAAGAATTTAGTGGACTAGACTCCACAAATCTCAGTCGCTGCTCTCTTCTGTCACTCTGCATGGTACACAAAAACATAAATCACCGAGCTAAGAAAAACACAACAGCGCCTTTTATACCAAGACATATGACTGCCGTAAACATTAAGGCATGATGTTCGAATTCAAGTGAGCAACCTATACACGAATAGCTCTTGCCTCTTGGAATAAAGAGACGGAAAATAAGGCTATTGGCAAATGTCTCGGCCCTTGCTGTCTATGGCTATGGGCACATGCACAGATGGCAGGTGTGCATGTCAATTTCGATAATTCAAATTAATGAACTTGGAGCTAGTCTGTGATCTACTTTCACTGATCAAAAGCTGAGCCCCTTGGGTACCGCCCAACTACAGAGATGGGTTGTACAAAATTTATTGTGCAAGTAGCGGGTTATGCAAGGCTATATACGGCTAAATGATCATTAATGTTGAATAGAAAATATGCAAGGGGAAGTCGGAGGCAAAAAAAAATTTAGAGGCTAGGGTAATACCTTATCCTCCTTCCCGTACGCATCCCTGAAACTAATGTCAGATTGCCCATTTGCATCAAGAAACCTCCTGTCAGACATCTCCTTCAATCGTTTTTGAACATCAACGGCTTGCAAGCTTGATGAATGCTGTTGTTTCAAATAAATTACATCCTTCCCTCCCATTTTAACACCAACGACTATATGTGTCCCAAATTTTTGAATGAACCTGCAAGGTTAAGCAATTAAGGTCGAAGTTCAGATTTACAACTTGGGCAGAACAATTGGCTCGGCACATGTTTTAACAAGAACAGTGTACATCCAATTCCAATGCTACATGCTTAGAAAGCTGACTGTAGAAAAGAGAACTGATACTATTTATATATGGTCACATCTCACATGAAATTTGCAAGGACTAAAACTGGCAGTAGAGGACAGCTTTCAAGGAGTCGGTGCTCAGACAATACACCCATCAGACATGAATGTATCATACCAAAATCAGAACAATCCAGAAAAATGGCAGTCAAAGATAGATGCTATCATCCTATCAAGACTTCGGTGAAGGAGCAAGAACACAGAGGCCTATCTTATTTTCAATGAGTACATGATTTTGGGTACAACTGAATAAAATATGGATCTAACCTTGCCAAAGCAGCAGGTTCCCAGGTTGATGGAACAGCCTGCTTAACATGATCTCGTAGTACAATTTGTGCCTTCGAGAGTGCAACAGTATATAGTGTGATACACCAACCATCAAAAGCAAGTGACTTGGTACTCGCAGCATCTTTCTGCCAGGAGCCAGTAAATTCAAACATATTATTGAACAGGCCAGATGGAATTTTCCCGGACAAAGATAACTCCCGGTTGAATTGCTCCGACATCTGCAAAATGCTTCATGATTTGAGAAAGCTAGCTATTTTTTCTCCAAACATTGTAAACACAGCACAAACATTATTTAAAGCAGCTTGACAACTTCCATGACAGCTTTGGAAGGAAACACATGATAGGGACGGAAGGTTGTACTAGTGAAACACAATATTCAGTAGGAGAGATGCTATACCAATCGCCAAGCATAGAAAATAAGAAACAAGGTACATCTCATGCTTCTGCAGCACATAAATCATAATCCCGTGTGGTACTAGAACAGCATCACAACTGAATGTCTGCCCTCCAAGGTGGAAATGGACAAACCTATCATGGGAAGGTTGCATGTTTCTGAGATAGGAGCTATTGGCTAGAACATGCTGCATGCCAAAAAAGCATCCTGCTGGTGCTAGCAAACTGGTAGAAGCCTGCAATCCTTTAGTTTCTTCTAAATGTCTAACCTGATAATTTTGGACCTTCTAATAAGGTAGCAACCAAAACATTATCTATATACGCCTCCATTAGCATTACTCAAACTGGAAAAATATTTCTTCCAGCTGAATACGTCTAGGCAGGCCTCAACTGTTCAGTGCTTCTACATGTTTTTGAAATGGCAAAATCAGTCCCTAATTCAAGGTATGCTGCCAGCAACCTGCTAAGAAACCTACAGTCCCAGAGTTTCCAACTTTCTTCCAAATATCTAACCTGATAACTGACGACCTTCTAATCTGGTAACAATCGAAACATTATCTACATACACCTCAACATTACTCACAAAGGAAAATTATTCTGCCTGGAAGTGGCAGAATACATATCTCTATAGGCCTCAAAGTGTTTGGTGCCTATATATATCTTTGAAGTGCGTAATGCAAGGAATAGGATGATTTTACTCTTAAAAGTGCAAGTTACTCAGAATAGGTGGTTCTGAAATGGTAAATTGACTTATGTTCATTTCTGTCATCTTCCTTGTTCTGAAGTAGGCCTACAAGAAAGCATACCTGCTGGAACGACAGGACATCGGACCGGAACCGCATCCGCTCCCCCTTGTCGCACTTGATGGACTTGGGCACGCCGGCGACCGTGGTCAGGCTGCCGGGGAGCACGATGTCCTGGGTCCCATCGCGGTCGAGCTCGATGAGCGACGGGTCGGGCGAGCCGCGCTGCTTGCAGAACTTGAGCCGGACGTCGGCGGCGACGTCGTAGCCGAGGCCGATGGAGCGGATGGCGGACTCGGCGGCCCTCTGCAGCAGCATCTCCTTGCTGTCCCTAGGCGCCATCCTCGCTCATCCCACGGCGCCGGAATAAACTTCAACACCCCTGGAGCCGGAACACCCGGAGCAAAATCAGCAGACGACGCGG